TACTGTTGACAGAGGAAAAGGGAAAACTTGACAGCTCCAAAAGCTGATATTCCCACTTTGCAATAAGCATTGGGTGAATTGCCCTCTTGAGCTGTCTATTTATCTCTGTGAACTATACAGATTGCCAGTTTTTAAGCCAGTCGTTTAAGCTGAGTGAATCCATCCCTTTATGCCAGATCACTGGCTGTTCTCTTCATTTTGGATTTCCTAAGTTGTATCACATTAAAAGCTTTCTCCCCCCTTCCGCCCCTCTCCAAGACTTCTCTTTTTCAGTTATTTGTTTTTTCCGATGGTCACCGAGGGAATAGAAAGATGTGTCTACCAAATGCCAACTAGGCTAGAACAGCAGAGGCAATTAAATCATCTCTTAAAGTCTTAGGCAGTCAGCCAGACCCTGCTTTGTGTTCTACAGCAAGACTTTTTAGTCTGTTTGGTCTTAAACACCAATGTCACTATGCTTGGTTAAGCTTGGGGCTTGACAATGCTGTTGAAGTGAACCCTTTAGTGTGTTACGACCAGCTGCAGCACTAGGTGTGTCTGTTGCCCTGCTATTACCTTGCACCCTGCACTTCTAGGCAGCAGAAGTTTTATGGCTCTTAAGCTCATAGTGCTCCGTGTGGAGCCCTCCGAAGCTTTGCTAAGTGGCTGTGACTGTGTTTGCTGGTACCTTTTAGCTGGAACGAGGCACAGCCTGAAACTGCCGTGCGTGCTACAAGGTTGTCTCTTTTCTGCTTCCAGGGTGCAGGTTTCTACTCAAACTGCTCTTTTGCGCTTGGGTCCTCTCTGCTAATTCTGTGAGGAATCCAGTCTACTGATGTTTGCTGTTCTTGTAATTTGGATTCCTGGTTATCTGTAGGAAAAATGAAGTCTGACGGCCTCAGAATTAATGGAGCCTGGATTTCAGTGAATCCTGTTTTTTGGTTGATTGACTTTGTAATCTAATTAATAAGACAGAAATATTATAAGACTGCAGTGTGAACTCATGCCTAGTACACAACAGAGAATGCAGGGTTGAGAGTGACATTCATAACAGCCTAACACAAGAAAAGTTTCACTGAGCTTCTGTATATTTTATTATATACCAAAGAATCTGAGCAGGGGAGAAAATACTTCATCCTGTCTCCCTTCTGTAGATTTTCTGGCATCTAAGGAGGCTTTGCCTCAGGTTATTTCTTTTAGCTTGTCACTGATAAAGTTTCTCCACCCAGCCATGTTCAAGAATGTATTTGACAGTCTTTGTCATCTTTGATCAAAGTTGTTTCATTGCTGTGGGAGCTGCAGTGCTTGCTTGCTGCCTGCAACACGGAGTGTGCACACTGTGACTGCTCCATATATGTCCTCTACCGTAGAGTTGGACCTACTGTTTTTGGACACTATTGTCTAGGAACTGAACAGGAGAGCAGAGGGCCTTATGAGCTGAGTGTCACATGTGGTTGTGGTTATTGAGAGCTGGTTATTGAGAGCAGTGTGCTTTTGTGATTGGGGCATGCTTTACCAGGAGATGAAGACTTGCAGAAGACTCTCTCCTATCCCTGTTTTAGTATATCACCAATCCTACTTTCTGCTTATGATTCCACAGTCAAGATTTTCTGCAAAAGCAGGTGGGTTTAGGGGATTTACTCAATCTTTCCACAGTAATATGGTATAAGAAATGTCTGTTGTTCCATAGCTTGTCCTCTGTCTACCTCTCCAGCTTGGAAGTCTTCCCCAGCAGTACCTTGTGTCTCTGTTAGACTTTTTTTTTTTTAGTTAAAGCTTTACACTGATGGCATTCCCCTCTCCATCCCCCCTTTTTTTTCATTAAATGTCTTGATTTTGAATCGTACACCCAAGCCCACTAGAGCATAATTTTGCAGGGAGTGTTGAATACCCAAAGCACAACTTAATTTCAATAGCAACTTTAGAGCAAGATCTGAGTTGCTTCAGATAATTCAGTGTTTCAATAGCATCAATGTTTGTTACATTTTCTCCAGTCCTGATATCCCTCTTCTGTCACAAATCAAACATCAAGCTGTCTTACAGGTGGCAAATGTGTAACTGAGCAGAAGGTCAGTGTTTGCTCTGGGTCTTCCAGTGTGTTCTTACTAGCTCGCTGAAGTGGATTGGTTTGGATTGATGTTTCCTGCTGTGATTCCCACGTCCTGCAGAGTTCACCATGGCAGTGAAGTAGGAGCTTTGTTGAAAGGAGCAAGGACACAGACTGAGCCTTTGCGTTATGCTGTAACTTGGCTTTGCACTGTGTTCCACAACAACTTCTTTCACTGTAAGTAAGTCATTAATTTAGGTGACCATGTTGGTTTGTATGTCTTTATTTTTAGTATAAATGACAAGACTGTTACAGTTTTCTGCTTAAAACTTTTGGGGCTTAATTGCTTTAAAATTATGTAACAGTTTTGTTTAATCTGAATGTTTGCGTGGAGAATGCAAATGCAATTTAAGCATTCATCCAAACCCATTCCTAAATCTCTGTCCTCTGGTAAGGATACAGTTAAAACTCACTTGAGTATTGTATTAAGTTTCCTTGGCCACGTATTGAATAATACATATACTTCTTTAGTCTGTTTGTAGTAGTTCACACCCACAAAGACCGAGAATTAAAGCACTTAATATGGCGGCAGGTTTCTGTGCTTCATTTCATGTAGCTAATAGAGAAAATAAATAGGTAGGGGGAAGAAAATACTTAGCTTGTTGCATTGTGTGGAAAGAGAAGCATTTCAGGCATTTCCTAAATGTGGAAATTCCTAAATATTCATAATAAAATGTTGCATATATCAGTCTATGCCTCATAGAATATGCTTCATTTCTAAACTCATAACTGGAAAATAACTTTTTCAGTGGGAAATAAAGGCCTTGTCTTTCATAGACAAGAATCAAAATCTTGCCCTCCCAATCTCACAGTGTGCCACGGTTCTGTAGCTCGCTTGATTTAATGTTTGCCTAACAGCTGTGTGTGTTGGAGGTGCACACTGAAGCATAGAGGTTGGGATTCTGTGTTTTCTCATCTTTAATAACAAGCTACAGTTTGAAATAACTTATTCCTAAAATGGTATGCATTTACAAGGATGTATTATTTTTATGTAGGCTTTCCAGTTTTTTGGTCTGGTTATTCTCAGACTAAAGCTGAAGAACATGCTTTATGTGGTTGTGATTCCAGGTTTACAAACCACCTCAAAGGTCTTTAAATATTATGGATATATTGATTTGTCTATTTTGGTGATGTGTAGAAATATAAAATGTGGAAACATGATGGCAGCATTTTATAGTGGATTTTTTTTCTCTAATGCTGAGATGAAACTATCTGAACCTTTTTCTGTTGCAAAATATGTGGAGCTTCTTCGTGCCTGTTGAGCTTTTCTAAGAGAAATAGGTTTTCTTGTCACAATATTTTGAAGAGTTCCGACATCTATTTTTTCCTTGTTGGGTTAAACCTGAGAGCATAAAAAAAATCCATGCAACTCACCTCCTTGCCTTCACCTCCACCACTCCCTCCTCCAAATTTAGTTTCATAAAAATTAGGCCAGATTGTGTTTTGTTGTAACAGGCTTCATTCACCATAGTGGGAATTGAGTCTGTTCACTGGGCCAAATTTATCCTCAGATATTTATCACAGGAAGACTAGTAATCATAGCCTGCATTTTATGACAGGCCGGATACTAGTTGGCTTTATGATGTAACATGGAATTTTAATGTTGATTCAAGCTTCGACTTTTCTCATGTGTCTATATCTATCTCCATATATATTTTTTTTCACTCAGCTACCTGGGATACATACAGAGAAGCACTCAGGAAAGGACCTGAAGGAAACTGGTCTTGAATGACAGTGATTCTCTTAATATTACCTGTGTTAGAGGGCAAACCATACCATATGTCCACTGCCTGGCAAAAAGCTGACTACACTGCAGTCTTGCTGGAGTAAAAAGGCCAGATGCTGTGTGAGGCCTGTTGTGTGTTTTCCTTCCTCCTGTCTCTGTGTGCTGAAGCATGGGTTGGGCTTCAGTTTAACATAATCCAAAAGCTAGAGCAATTTTTTTCCTTTCCAGCTCAGCAAACATGAAGATCATATCCCTGCAATGTTCCCTAGGCAATGCCAAAGCAAAGAAGAGGGGTAATGATAGTGCTGGCCCTAAAGAGATTAGGATTTCAAGCACAGAGGTGGTAAGTGTGTGTAACAGTAGGAATAAATAAGGAGGAAAGGTGAGAATTCCTGTGAAAGGCAATGAGTAGCAGTTGCCTAGGCTTAGCTTTGTTGGATTAACCTTGACCTACCTACAGTAGTTGGGTAGCAATCTCTGCTTTTCCCCTACTTGGTGTTATAAGTTGCAAAGATCCTGTAGGTTTTGCTGCAGAAAGACAGTAAAGACACAGAGAGTGCCCTAAAAAAAGGAATATACTCAGGATGTCCTATGCATGAAAACAGCACTTAAAGTGAGGCAGATGAAGGAAAGTATAAAAGGAAGTATAGGATAGATAGTATAGGGGAATAAATAGGGAAAAATCACCTTTTGCATTCCTTCATTAATAATAAGATAAATGGCTACAATACACAGCATGCTCTTTTCATGTGAATATTCTGGGATTTTTTCACTGTCCAGAGGGATAAGCAGGAAGGCCGGAGCGTACCCAGGAAACCGGGTGTGCGTGTGTACCCAGCACTGCTTCCTCCTCTTCGAGCTGTAGCTGTTCAGTTCAAAGAAAAACAACGATACCACTGAAGGCAATATCCTCTGTGAGAGGAATAGGAACTGAAGGGTTTCAGCTCCGAGAGTTGCCTTTGCAGCTGTGGTTTGTTTTTCAGACAGGTTGTGAGGGTAGGAGAGAAACCCACGTGTATCCCGTGGTAGCACATGGGATCCTCACTGCCATGGAGGGGCTTGCGGGGCTTTGCTTTAAAGAACGGGAGCAAGCAAAATCTTTCTGAGATTGCCTGTGCACCGGGCACCTGAAATTGCCTGTGCACCAGGAACAGCAAGACAACATTGCCCGGCCGCGTGTTCTGCGCCATGGCCTGTAACGCCGCCTCCCACGTAGGCCGCGGCGGGCAAAGTGATGAACCAGTCAGGGTAGAAGTGTTTGAGATAAGAAACGAAGATAAGGGTAAAGTCATTGGTTTTATTATTTGGATCATCAGCTTTGCAGAGCAATAAAAGACACATTTTACTCCTGGCAAAACTTTAAGTTTTAACTCTTTGTTTCTGTAAATGCCAAGAGTTGGGTTCAGAGGGGGATGGCATGGGGTTGCTCAGCTTTCTTGAGCATGGCTCAGAGACCAGCCTCTTGGGTTTTCCTCTTGTGGAGGAGGCATCCCCAGTAGTGTACAAACATTTTGGGAGCTTTATGTGAACTCTCTTTTTGCTGGGAATGGCACCAGTCAGAGATGCAGGAAGAACCAAGCACAGCCCATTTTCACCCTCGTAATGTTGTTCAAGAGTATCTGAACTACCTCGAAAATCCTAGTCACAAATTTATGTGTAAATCTACCTCCTTTTTTCTTGAGTTTAATGACATCAGCCCCACAGTTATGGTGTGTATTTAAAAAATGAAATCTTGTCTGATTACAAGAAGGAAGAGATCATTAAAGTTGCTGTCGTGGAGGCTCTTGTGGGTGTGTGTGTGAGAGGAGCTCTTTGTTGCCCTTTTTTTTTTTTTTGCTGGAAGGTGAAACAGTATTTTGTTACTTGAGGTTTTTTTCTTGTTGTTTTTCTTTCTCCTAAAAAACCTCTTGAGCTTTTCATCTCTTGAGCATGGCAGGTGGCTGTACGATTACTGCCACGTGATGTAAAAAGGAAAGAGGGAGAAAGTGTCGACTGGAGAATTCTGGCAAACGTTACTCAAGAAGTGCAGCAGATTGACTCTCTGACCACTGGGCTGATAGTGCCTCTCACAGAGACTTGTCACCATTCCAACTTCACATTTTTATAACCATTTAATTACTGCTGGTATTAAATACAGCTAAAATTCACTGTTGCAGCTAACACTGTGGAAGTGCTGTAAATTAGTAGAGAGTAGCAAGAAGAAAGCGGGACTGTAAGGAGCTTGCTCACCCTCTTAGTTCTCAATGACAGCCCTAATAACAGTTCTGGATTTCTGATTTTTTTTTGTCTTTTTTTTTTTTTTTGGATGCTGTCTTTCAGTCCTGTCCATACTTTCCTATGATGTCCTTCAATTAAAACCTTTGGTCAGCATTTGGTTTGGAAAGCAGCTAGCACAGTCAACTGCTCTAGGGCACCCTCCCAGGCCCTGGAGATGCTCCTTGTCCTGCATAGGACTCAGGATGCAACCTGTTCAGAACAGTACCTGTATTAAACTTCTTCATTTTCTGTTGAATTACAACCCCGTGCTTTTAGTATTGCTTGAAACTTAATTTTCTAAAGAATAAACTTTGTTCCCCACTTCCTCCTGGCCTGGCGGAGGGGTCTGACAGGCGGCTGTTTCGCAGTCAGGTGCTGACACCTTGTTGTGATCGTTTCAGAGAGTTCCCCGTGCATCAGGGCATCACTGGGTGGCACCGACCAACTGTGGCAGCTTCATCTCATGGTGGTGGGTGCTGAGCTGGTGCGAAGTAATCCAGAAGTACTGATGTGTACGGAATATGTTGTGCAGATTTTGCCAGTGAGACAAAATTTCTGTAAGCAGTAGTAGATCAGTAGAATTTCCAGCATTGCATGGATTAGTGTCATTCCCATAGCTCGACACACAGCTCCTGGGACACCTCTCCTCAGTGCCGTGTTTTCCCTTGCTGCATGGGAAGCAGCTGCACAAGGTGCAGAGCTCCCCGGAGGCTACTCCCCAAGCACCTGCATTACTGGCTTTGGGAAGAACAAGGGAGGCAAAAATGCCTTGCTACATAACAGCCAGGACATGGTAAATGCTGGGGAGAAGCAGGTATGTCTGAGATACATTCATACTATATATTAGTATATATATTTGTATATTGTCTTGTATATATTTAATTGGTCTTCTATTAAATCAGGCTTTCTGGTCATTGATCTTTGTGAAGTTCTTTCTCCGATTTGGAACAGGAGAATAGGCAGGATCTGGCAAAAAATACATTGGAGAAGGAGGGATGTTGTGCCCAGGAGTCTCACTCGGCCCTTCAGTGGCTGAGGCAGCCAGTGCAATGTAAGTTGTGTGAAGAAAAGTCCCAAGGAAATTGAGGTGACCTAAAACCGCTGTATGCGCTGGCAGCTACTTCTGGTCTTCATTGATCTGTCCTGTTTTCTAGTTATTAGGCTTCTACACTCTAATCCATGCTGCATTTCATAAAACAGTTACAAAATAATCCTTGGTTAGACAAAGAGCACACACAGCACTCCAGTACTCTTGGCACCTATTTTCTGACAGCTAATGTCGCATTATTTACCCACAGAGGGAAAAGTTTCTGGCAGTTCCTGCGGATCAAATGAGGTGTAAATGCCACAAGTGTTCTTCTGGCAGCAGCCAGCTTAAAATCCCCTCCCATCGCCAAATCTTCTTTTCTTAAATACAAGAGCCAGCCCGGCTGACTGGTCTCAGAGTTCCTCAGAAATTTTACTTTGGGCTGTCCATCCACCAGCAGCTTTATTTTAGCCTCTTATTGCCTCTGTGATGGGGAACACAGAGAAATGGTTTTACAAGGTTGGAGATGAGGGCTTCCAGAGCATAGTATAAATATTGAATTGTTTTTCCATTTCTGACATTTGCTGAAATCTAGAGTTTCAAAGTTGTCCTTTAAAACCTGGAGCACCAATTTGCTATGGCAAGAAGCCCAAAGGTCAGCTTATTTATGTGAGTGATCTCTTTGGAGATGCATTGATAATACCCTGATGGCCTTTGGTGTGTGAGATGAGAGAAGAGTCAACTCTGAGTTTGGGGACACAGACATTTAAACCATGCTGTTGTTTATGTTGATCTTCCTCGGTCCTGTATGAGTGAAGTCCAACTTTTTTTTTTCACTTGGCTCCAAAGCATTAGGGCTATTTCTGAGTGGGCTGGGATTCAACTGCTATTCCTGCAGGTGTTAATGCTCACTTCTCATTCTTTCCCCATTTATAGCATTTTGACATCTTCAGATTTAACCATTGGGCCTGATCTAATTCCCATTGAAGATGAACCCGCTGACTTTGCAGACATCATAAGTGATTCTTGGATCATAAGCTCTTTGAGGCCGAACTTACGTTCTTGAGGTTTTTTCTTGCTGTGCCCATCTGTGCTGCTAGAAGAAACTAAGAACGGTATCATCCGATCGTGCTGTCTGCAAGCAGAAAGAACTCTGCCCTTGAACTGAACTAAACAAACATGCCTCGAGCAGACAGTTATCTCCCCAAGCCTCTGTAAAAGCATATTGGGTCTGGATGGGAAAGCGACCCTCCTTGGCTCCTCTTTGGAAAGGTGCTCCCACCGTGGAGCCTAAGGAAAACAATTTGCTAATTGGAAACGTGCACACACCATCCTTTGCCTTGCCAGCTTATTTACCTTTGTAAAGGTTTCTTCTCAGGATTTATTGGACAGATACATTAGAACACGCCACGTGGCTGGGTGCTCCCCTTCTCTTGGGATGACCTTGCACCAGACACAGCTCTATATGAATCAAATGCAGAAGTAAAGCAAGGGCTCCAGGACCAAAAGCCCTTATCCACATGAGAGCACAGCTCTATATGAATCAAATGCAGAATTAAAGCAAGGGCTCCAGGACTTACCCATATGAGAATGCTGCAGTAGTTTTAGTCCTGATGGATTCCTCTGTGGAAAAGGGAGATAATAACAAAGTGAAAATTCTTACCACTGGTTAATCACAGATGCTTCCTAGCAACTGGATAGCCCTGCTTGTTTTTTCCTTTCCTTCCTCATGGTTTTCTAGTGCTTTTTTTATAAAACAAAACAAAACACCTGCTCCAGCTCCCTCTGTTGCAGGAGAATACAATACAACTGTAACAACAGTGGGAGATACGCGTGTGATTTTGAACTCTGGCTTTTCTGCCTGCTTATTTCCTTGTCACGTCCCAATTGTCCCCTCACTCGCTCTTGCTGTCGGAGCTGCCGGCCCGACCGCGCTCTCGGGGGTGTCTGCCCAGGTTGCCAGGCCCTGCCACTCTGCTGAGCTTGGTAGCGGTGACAGTAGTGCCAATGGCAAAGGAGGTTGCAATACAAACAGGTCCGCGGCCTTATCACTGCTTTACCGGGAAGTTTTCTCCAGGGTGATTGGGAATCCGTGTGCGCTGCATTGCAGCCCTTGGGGGCTGTGCCGGGGCTTGGCTGGTTTCTCCTCCAGCCTCTGCTCCGGGCTGGAGTTGACCAAGAGGGACTTGGCAGGGAAGCAGCAGGCTGCAAAAAACAATAGGGAGTCCTGTTCTAACCTGGTTTTGACCTGACGTGGAGCACTACGAGTTAGCGCTGGGGACAGGGAGGAAACCGGCAGTGATTTGCCAAGCTCGGCAGCTGCCGTGAGCAACCTGTGTTGATCCTGCCCTGGGAAAGGTGGAGGGAATGTCCTGGCATGAGCAGCCCCGTGGTGCCAGGCAAGTCTCCGTAACACAGCCTGAAAGAAGCAGGGAATTAATTTGCCCTTAAATTGAAGATTAATGCGATTTTTTCCAGGACAGAAAACATTGCCTGTTTTCTGGAAGGATAAAGTGTCCACTGAAACGGGATTATATTTACATTATTATTGCAGGGCCATCTGTGAAATAAGCTTTCTGTACTACAGTAAAGAGCCATGACCCCTCACAGAGTTATCTTTTAAGCTGGATGCTAAACCCGCAGGAGCTTATGGCTTAAAACTAATAGGGATTTAACTTCTCACTGAAAGGAATTTGAAGCCTAACCCTATTTAGCTGCTCTTTGCACTCATTGATTAAATGCCCAGTCCACTGTAAAAAACCTAATGGAATCAAAACTGTACGAATTTTCCATCTAACAAAGTGAATGCCAGGGGACACTCTGCAAGTTTTAAACCAAACTCTTCTTCTTTCCTAATAAAAGAACACAAAAAAAGAACTTTCCCAGTAAAAGAACAAAATAATAGAAATGCCAATTCAAGATAATATTTTGTTTGTGGAGAAAAAAAAAGGGAAAAATAAAGAGTGAAAAGATTTTTCAGCCCAAACTATTCCACAAAG